CCAGAATCAACCTAGTCAATCTCCCCTGCACCCCCTCCAGTGCCAGTACATCCTTTTTCAAGTAAGGAAACCAAAACTGCATGCAATATTCCAGGTGTAGCCTCACCAGCCCCCTATACAGCTGCAACATAACCTCCCTGTTTTAAACTCAATCCCTCTAGCAATGAAGGACAATATTCCATTTGCCTTAATTACTCGCTGCACCTGCAAACCTTTTTGTGATTCATGCACAAGGACACCTGGCTCCCTGTGCACAGCAGCAAGCTGCAATTTTTTTTTTTTTTTTTTTTTTTTTTTTTAAAAAGACTGTTCAGGTAACAGTCCTTTTTACTGTTATTCTTACCAAAATGGATGATTTCACATTTATCAACATTGAATTTCATGCGCCAGACCTTCACCCACTCACTTAAACTATCTATATCCCTCTGCACACTTTGCTCTACCACTCATCTTAGTGTCATCCGCAAACTTTTGACACATTACACTTGGTCCCCAACTCCAAATCATCAATGTAAATTATAAACAATTGCAGTCTCAGTACTGATCCCTGAGGCATACCACTAGTCACTGTTTGCCAACCAGAAAAACATTCATTTATCCCCACTCTTTGCTTCCTGTTAGCTAACCAATCCTCAATCCATGCTAATACATTGCCTGCAAGGCCACGTACTTTTCATTAAGCATCTACCTACCAACATTGCCTTGCTCAAAGTGGTTTAGAGGGTGGCAAGCATATGGAATGAACGGTCAGAGGAAGTGGTATATGCAGGCATAGTTACAACATTTAAAAGACATTTTGCCAGGTATACGAATAGGAAGAGTTGAGGGATATGGGACAAATGCAGGCAAATGAGCCAAGTTTTAATTTGGGAAACTTGGTTAGCATGAACAAGTTGGACCGAACAGTCTGTTTCCGAGCTGTATAACTCTAAAAATGCCTTTATTTGGTTAACAAGTTCCTTTGTGATGTAAAGAAACAAATAATTAGCCCCTACATCCCTACTAACTTCATCTTTATAAAAAAAGACAGTTTAAAAAACTGCGACAATAACACGGTCAAACTAATATTTTGGATTGTGTACTATGGATACTAAACTTCCCTTTTCATCACTGTCCTTTCAACTTGCATTTAGTCAACATACTGGAACAGACAAGAGCTTCCAAACCCACAGCCACTACCATCTAAATGGACAACTGCACAGGAACATGATCATCTACAAGTTCTCTTCCTTGCTACTCACCATGCTTATTTGGAAATATTGCTGTTCCTGAGTCAAAATCCTGGAACACCCTCCTTAAAGGCATTGTGGGTCTACCTAAACCAGCCGGACTGCACTGGTTCAAGAACACAGGTCATCATCACTTTTTCATGGGCAACTAGGGATGAGTAAAAAGTACCGGCCCAGCCAACAGCACCCATGTCTCATGAATGTATAAAGGACAATGCAACACTTATAAATCTCAATTATCAGCCTGTTTGTTGGGCAGAGGCCCGTGTTGATTTTTCTTCTATGCAATTCAGACTAATGACTGAAAAATATCCAATTTAACAAGATAACTAGAAAGATACTGGTACACTGCGATGAAAGATAATTCAAGTTTTCTTTAAACACTTCTTCTGTCACGTGAAAATATTGGCAGTATATTTTCACAAAGTATTCTGCATCACGAGGGGCTTTAGAGAGATCCAACCTTATGTAGGCACCATGGTGGGGTGACTTGTAAAACTTCTCATTGTATTTTTTATGTAACAGTTCACACGACTATAAGTTTCTATTCTACTTTATTCAACCTAAAGCTTGCTGTTAGGAAGGTATATTGGAACAATTTGCATTAAATTGAGAAGTTTAAAGGACTGCCTGAACTGCAGGCTTAGCTGGAACCTGGTTAGTTTAAATTAAGTTAAATGAGTAAAGGACTACATTAACCTTTTTAAGAGTTTGATCATTTCCAGATCATGAAAAGGAAAGTGATGTCTAATAGGAAAAGTTAAATATAGTAAACTATCCAACAAGCAATTAGCAATGCTGAATAATATATAATAAAGTGAGCAATCTAGAAAACCAGAATTTTTGGAAATTTATACATCTGGAATTTTACAATCCTTGATACTTTTCCCTGGTTCATGAACATCAGCCTCTACTGTGTTGACTTTGTATATTTCATGATCAGACATTGCTTGGCCTGCCCGCTATTGGAGTGGCTGATCTCCTGAACTAAAAACAAGAACAAATATAATCAGACCACAGTTCAGAATACACAAATCCACCAAACCTTAATCAAGAAAGTGAACTATGCTCAGTGCTAACAGTCTATTTATAGTAGTTAGAAATCTTACTTTTACCCTTGCAATGTCAAAGATTTCTCTTTTGTTAATCTTTAACACAAAAGTGATCCTTGAAACATATTCACTCAATCACAGAATCATACAGCAGGAACCAGACTCTTCGGTCCAACTCATCCGTGCCGACAAGGCATCCCATCTGATCTAGTCCCATATCCCCCAAACCCTTCCTACTTTTATACCCATCCAGATGCTTTTTAAATGGTGTAACTATAGCCCCTTCCACTTCTGGCAGCTCGTTCCATACATGCACCATTCTGCGTGAAAAAGCTACAACTTTAGTTCCTTTCTAAATCTTTCCCCTCTCACCTTAAACCCATGCCATCTAGTTTTGGACACCACCCCCCACCCCTCCCAGGGAAAAAGACCTTGGCTATTCACCCTATCCATGTCCCTCATGACATTATAAACCTCTATAAGGCCTTTTTAAGGAATATCTTCCATGATGAAAATCCTGAGTAGCTTTGTGCCGTGACTCGTGAACTGATCTTATGAGACCCATTTTACAGCTCCAAATTTTATCTGAAGGGTGATTCTAAACACAAACTTGTGTGTGGGGGGCACGCTAGATGTTTTTCGCTGCATCAGTTTTTACATGTTTCATAACATTAAAAGTGAATTTTCAAAATTAGTCAAACCTAAACAATTCAATGGCCTTACAAACATTCAGTTTATATTTCCAACAGACAAATGGTATATCAGGCCCCAAGAAGACTTTCCACATCAAGCAGATGTTCACCTGCACATCTGCCAATGTAGTATACTGCATCCGCTGTGGCTTCCTCTACATCGGGGAAACCAAGCGGAGGCTCGGGGACCGCTTTGCAGAACACCTACGCTCGGTTCGCAATAAACAACTGCACCTCCCAGTCGCGAACCATTTCAACTCCCCCTCCCAGTCCTCAGACGACATGTCCATTCTGGGCCTCCTGCAGTGCCACAACGATGCCACCCGAAGGTTGCAGGAACAGCAACTCATATTCTGCTTGGGAACCCTGCAGCCCAATGGTATCAATGTGGACTTCACAAGTTTCAAAATCTCCCCTCCCCCTACTGCATCCCAAAACCAGTCCAGCTTGTCCCTGCCTCCCTAACCTGTTCTTCCTCCCACCTATCTCCTCCTCCCACTTCAAGCCGCACCTCCATCTCCTACCGACCAACCTCATCCCGCCCCCTTGACCCGTCCGTCCTCCCTGGACTGACCAATCCCCTCCCTAACTCCCCACGTACACTCACCTTTACTGGCCCCATCCCCGCCTCTTCGACCTGTTTGTTTCCTCTCCACCTATCCTCTCCTCTATCCATCTTCTATCCGCCTCCCACTCTCTCCCTATTTATTTCAGAACCCCCTTCCCCTCCCCCTTTTCTGATGAAGGGTCTAGGCCCGAAACGTCAGCCTCTCTGCTCCTATGATGCTGCTTGGCCTGCTGTGTTCATCCAGCCCTGCACCTTGTTGTCTCTGTAAATGGTATATTAGCTTTTGTTACAGAAGGTTTGGGTCTACTAGGCTACAGTAGTCTTACAATTACACAGAATCTAGATGAAATTACCACCGGAGTAGTGTGTGCAGTTTTGATACCTTTACCAAAGGAAGGAAAAACTTGCTGTAGAGGTGGCGACTGTTTTTTTTCAAAGAGAGAACAAGTACACCTACATTCCTTGGAGTTTAGAAGAATTAAATGAGAAGCATTCTAAGTGAAATGAAACAATCTCAGGGGTTGGGCAGGGTTCAAGCCAAGAAAACATTTCCCTTGTCTGGGGAATTTAGAACACAGTATTGCAATCTCAGAATAAGTCAATAATAAATCAGTAATTTAGGACAAGGTGAGAAGAAATTTGCCAAAAAGAGTTGTGCATCTTGTAAGTCTCTGCCACTGAGAACTGTGGATGTTCAAGACAGAAGTCAACAGATTTTTAAGCCACAAAGGAAATTAGACATTCATGGGGATAGTGCAGATGGGCACGCTCAAGGTAGATTAGGTTTTGCCAAATGCTGAAGTCGGCTCTTGGGGCTGATGGCATGCTCCAGGACCCGTTTCTTAAACAGGGTGCAACCTATAGATTAAAAAGGAAACAAACAGGGGATAAATCTGAAGCCTACAGGGCTTCCCACACATCATACTGGAGTTCATCTTTTAGTTCTCTTCACGGTTGAAATTTAAAAAGTTGCATCTGATGATCTGGACAAGTCAATACAACACACACACACACACACAGACAGACAGACAGACAGACAGGCAGGCAGGCAGGCAAACACAGTCAGTCAATTCAAAAGATGGCTCGTTAGCAGGGCCTGCAAAGGAAAAATAACAAAAAGAAATCGTTCAACGTTTCCAAACGCAAATACATTTTTAGACAATGACATTGGGATGGTACTTAATGCAGGGATGTTAACACTGCAAAAACGGACAGTCCGAGTGACCTGCTCCGATTATAGCTGCCACAACGCACTCCATAACTGTGCCTGGAATCGCGGGTTAAATAAAAATAAAGGGAGAAAGCTTTGGGTTCACTTTGCAGCAAATGCCAAGTGCTGAGGGTTGGACTTTTAATCCAAAACAAGTATAAAAGTCAGAAGTTCAAGCCCAATGCCCCTCCCCCCGACCAGTCTGCCATGTTAATGCTACAAGAAGCGGTAATAATAATAATAAACATGAAGAGATCACTGAAAAGTGCGCTCCCTTAAGGGCGGCTGCGGGGTGTTGGGTAATAGAAAATATTAATTGAGAATGTTTTATTCTCTCAGGCCGGGCCCAGCCGCCCGGGTCAACATGGAAGCGGCCCCCCTCACCTTGTCGGCCCTCGAGCATTGCCAGGTCCGTAGCTGGTCGCGGGCTGGATCCCTCATGTCCGTCATGTTGAGTATCTGAGTGTTAGTATGTCGCTGCCACCTGTTCTCAGTGAGAAGTGACTAAACCCTGGCCGCTGACCCCCGTCAATACACTCCCCTCCGGGACCCCCCCCCCAACAAGACCACGCCGGACCACGGCTCCCAGCCCGCCCCTGCTCCGGCCCCGCCCACCGTGCAACCCGCCGCTTATTGGATCACAAAGATGTCATTCAGACCTCACACCGCCCCCGCCGCGCGTCACCGGCTGATTGACGGCTCCCCATCTCCGCAGCTCAGACCGCTCAGGTTTACGCTGCAAGCACAGGCTGTTGTCCCTGACTGCTCTTTGCTGGTGTTTGTGACTCACACAAACCTTTTTCCACTCTCTAATTCCATCATATCCTTACACTCCTTTCTCTCTCGCGTATTTGTCCAGCTTCCCCTGATAATTTACATGATTGTTCTCCAATTGCCTCAACCAGTCCTTGTGGTCGCGAAAGTTCCTAATCTCTGGGCCAAATAGATTTACGAGTTACTATCAGTGCATGTGATGATTTTCAGCGTTCAATGGTAATGTGGAGCCTTTTAAAGAGACTCTTCGTACTAATACTTCAACAGGACTTAGTGGGAAGAAATTGCAGGGCCTTTAGCAGAGATACTTATACCATCTACCATCATGGGTGAGGTGCTAGAAGACTGGAGGGTGGCTAATGTTGTGCCTTTATTTAAGAGAGTCTGCGAACAAAGCTTGGGAACTATACACCATTGACTTTGATGTTAGTGGTGGGTACGTCGTTGGAGGGGATTCTGAGAGATAGAATTTACATGCGTTTAGAGAGGCGAGGACTGATTAACCGGCACGGTTTTGTAGGCGGGAGGTCATCCCTCACAAAGTTGTTTGAGTTTTTGAGGGCATGACCAAGAAGATAGATGAGGGTAGAGTGGAGTCGTTGTCTACATGGACTTTAACAAGGCCTTTGGTAAAGTTCTGCATGGTAAACATTTTAGTAAAGTTAGATCACATGGGATCCAGGGAGAGCTAGCAATTTGGATGCAAAATTGGCTTGATGGTAGAAGACAGAGAGTGCTAGGTAGAGGGTTGTTTTTCAATCTGGAGGTCTGTGACCAATGGTGTTCCAGAGGGATCGGTGCTGGGTCCACTGTTGCTTGTCACTTATATGAATGATTTGGATGAGAATATAGGAAGCACGATTAGTAAGCTTACTGATGACACCAAAATTGTTGCTATAGTGGACAGTGAAAAAGGTTATCTCAGAATACAATGGGTTCTTGATTAGCTGGGTCATTGGGCTAAGGAGTGGTAGATTGATTTTAATTTATATATAAATGTATATGTAAGTAATATGATAAATGTGAAGTGGTGCATTTAGGTAAGACAAACCAGGGCAGGACTTACACAGTTAATGGTAGGGCACTGGGGAGTGTTGTCAAGCAGAGAGACCTAGACATAATTCCTTGAAATTGGCGTCACAGGTAGACAGGGTGGTGAAGAAGGCTTTTGGCACATTTGCTTTCATTGGTCAAAGATTGAGTATAAGACTCAGGACATCATATTGCAGTTGTACATGACATCAGTGGTATACTGTGTACAGTTCTGGTTGCTGTACTTTAGAAGGATATTATCAAGTTGGAAAGGGTGCAAAAAATATTTACAATGATGTTACTGGGAATGGAAGTCTTGGGTATTAAGGACAGGCTAGACAGGCTGAGACTTTTTCGCTGGAGTCTAGGCGGTTGAGTGGGACCTTATAGAAGTTTATAAAATCATGAGGGGCATAGATAAGGTGAGTATTAAAGGTGTTTTCCCTAGGTCAGGGTAGTTCAAAACTAGAAGGCATTGGTTTAAGGTGAGCGGGGAAAGATTTAAGATGGACTTGTGGGGCAACATTTTCACACACAGGGTGGTGCGTATATGGAATGAAATGCCAGAGGAAGTGGTAGGTGCAGGTACAGTTACAGCATTTAGAAGACATTTGGACAAATACATGAATGGAAAAGGTTTGAAGGGATATGAGCCAGATGCAGGCAAATGGAACCAGTTCAGTTTGGGAAATTTGGTCAGCATGGATGAGTTGGACCAATGCTGAATGTCTCTATGACTCCATGTCTCCAAATAACCTAATTAGATTATGTAAATATGACATTACTGTATTATTGTACTGGCTTATTGTGACAACCTTAGAATCACCATCAAAATTCCCCTTTAGTGGGTCACCTCAAATGCAATCAGAGTTAGCTTTCTCCTCCTTATTAATAGCATAAGTTTCCCTAAACCTAACCATTGTTCCAGAAACCAATTTCCAATGAGTACACTGAAATAAAATCACATTTAATTATTTGATTTATAGGACTAACAAGTCACTAAAAGAGGGACAAGATGAATCCATTTATCAAAAATTACACCAATTTATCAAAGATAGTGGGAACTGCCGATGCTGGAGAATCTGAGATAACAAGGTGTAGAGCTGGATGAACACAGCAGGCCAAGCAGCATCAGAGGAGCAGGAAAGCTGACATTTCAGGTCTGGACAGGTTAGGGAGGCCTTCCGGAGGGACCACTCTCTCCGTGACTCCCTTGTCCGCTCCACAATCCCCATCAGCCCCGGCACTTTTCCCTGCAACCACAGGAAGTGCTACACCTGCCCCTACACCTCCCTCCTCACCCCCATCCCAGGCCCCAAGAAGACCTTCCACATCAAGCAGATGTTCACCTGCACATCTGCGAATGTGGTGTACTGTATCTGCTGTTCCCAGTGTGGCCTCCTCTACATCGGGGAAACCAAGTGGAGGCTTGGAGACCGCTTTGTGGAGCACCTATGCTCGGTTCGCGACAAACGACTGCACCTCCCAGTCGCGAACCATTTCAACTCCCCCTTCCACTCCTTGGATGACATGTCCATCCTGAGCCTCCTCCAGTGCCACAACGATGCCACCCGAAGGTTGCAGGAACAGCACCTCATATTTCCCTTGGGAACCCCGCAGCCTAATGGTATCAATGTGGACTTCACAAGCTTCAAAATCTCCCCTCCCCCAGTCGCATCCCAAAACCAGCCCAGCTCGTTCCCGCCTCCCTAACCTGTCCGTCCTTACTCCCACCTATCCACTCCTCCCACCTCAAGCCCCACCCCCACCTCCTACCTACCAGCCTTATCCCACCTCCTTGACCTGTCCGTCCTCCCTGGACTGACCTATCCCCACCCTAACTCCCCACCTACACTCACCTTTACTGGCTCCATCCCCACCTGTTTGACCTATCTGTCTCCTGTCCACCTATCTGTTCCTTTATCCATCTTCCATCCGCCTCCCCCTCTATCTCTATTTATTTCAGAATCCCCTTACCCTCCCCCATTTCTGAAGCAGGGTCCAGACCCAAAACATCAGCTTTCCTGCTCCTCTGATGCTGCTTGGCCTGCTGTGTTCATCCAGCTGTACACCTTGTTATCACCAAGTTATCAAAAATAGCTTTAGATCATTTATTATCAGAGATGAATATACTTTAACTCACAATATTTATTGCAAAATTGCTTGTTGTGAAATGTGTGTATGTCATGCTTTAAATATAAAATTCTTACTGTTTTGGGTATGTTTAAAAGTTTTATAAGCATCTTAAACTTTACGTTAACAGAGAGAAAGAGCTTTCTATATCAATGTACTATATTTAGCCCCAAAAGCAGTTCCCCTTCTTTCCCTTTCCACTTTGTTGTACCAGCATTACCAACAAAAAAAAACTTGCATTTATATAGAGATAGTATTTATATAGGGTTTATATAGCATTTATATAGGGTTTTGTATGATCACAAAGCATTTGATAGTTAATTAAATGCTTTTGGAAGCAGCTACTGATGAAGAAATGCAGCTACTAAGTTGCATACAGCAAAGTCTGGCAAACCTCTATAAAATGAACGGCAACGTAATTTGATTGACTGTTGTTCGTTGAGGGATAAATGTTGGCCAAGACACTAGAAGACTATTTTGTTGTTCAACAAGCATTATGGAATATCTCACAAAAAGTGAAAAATGTAACAAGTTTGACAGTTTTGTCAGATCTGCGTCTTCCTTCCTACACGATAACACTGACCACATTTCAAAGCTGCTTTATTTGCATAAAAGTACTTTGTGATGTCCTGGAATTGTGGAAAGCAGTGCATGGATACAAGTCTTTTTCTTTCCAAGGGCAGAAGGCATATAATGCATTAAGCAATCTACATTATCCAATTCAGTATTAGACTTTGCCTCCAGTGTACATAGTTTCTTTATATTCACTGTCAGAGTGTCGCCATCGTTGATAAAGAGCAGCATTTTCACTCATTCCTAAATGCTGTTAAGAAGGTGGTAGTAGGCCTTTTCCTTGAATCACTGCAGTCCATTGTGGTGAGACAATTCCCACCATTTTGTTAGGCACAGAGTTCCAGGTTTTGCCACAGAAAGGATGATGCAATGTCTTTTTTAAAATTCATTCATGGGATGTGGGAATTGCTGGCTGGTTTAGGATTATTGTAAATCTCTAATTCTTGAGAAGGTGACGGTGAGCTGTCTTCTTGAATTCCTGCAGTTCTTGCAATGTGGATACATCCACTTACATACACTTTACTATTAGGAAAAGAGTTCAAGGATTTTGACCTTGTGATAATGAAGGAGCAGTAACAAGTCAGGATGGTATGTTGTTTGGAGGGAATTTTCAGGTGGTGATGTTCACATGTTATCTGCTGCCCTTGCCCTTCTGGGTGATAGAGGAAGATACTATCTAAGGAGCATTGATGGGTATTGCACTGCATCTTTGAAATGGTACACTCTGATCTCACGTGCATCCATGGTGAAGGGAGTGAATGTCGAAGGTAGTAGATAGGGTACCAATCAAATGCCATTGCTTCATCCTGGATGGTGTTGAGATTCTTGAGTGTTGTTGAAGCTGTACTCATCCAAACAAGTGGGGAGTATCCAATCAGTCCCCTGACTTGTACCTTAGAGATAGGCTGTGAGAAGACAGGATGTGAGTTATTTGCTGTAAAATCTCAGCACCTGACCTGCTCTTATTGCCACAAGATTTATGTGGCTAGTCCAGTTCAATTTCCTGTCCAGTAATTCCTGATTTTCACAGATATGACATATCTGGGCAATTTGTGACATTACAGGTAGATGCCAGTGTTGTAAATCAAGTTACA